TTGGGAGTTCAAAACTAAAATATGGCGAGTTCCTCACACAGTAGTTCAGTATATTGGGCAAACGAACAGGTCATTATAATATAAATCCTGTCCGAAGCACAGAAGCATTCAAGGAAGTGGCATCTCACCTAGACTGAGGGTGAGCAAGGACGGTTTCCTACAGAAACCTGAGCTAAAGTTCAAGTGGGGCCAAAGAAGGGAGACCACATTCCAGGCAGAAGCAGCAGCCAGTGTGCACTCAGGGAGGTGGGGAGGAAGCAGTGTGGCTCACTCCAGAAACTGCAGAAGTTCTGTGTGACTGGCGACGTCCATAAATGGCAAGTCGTAAGGCCAGGGGAGAAAGCCGGTTCCACGACATTTAGGTTTTATCCTACAGGCAATGAAAGGCATAGAAAGGTTTTAAGCCAAGAAAATCTAGGGGGCAACTTAGAAATCTCACCAATGAAAGAAAATAAAAGTCAAAATAACAAAATGAGGAATGAAAGCAGCAAAGCCCCAGGGAGCGGAGAGAGGGGTGAGGCGTCGCTGAGAGGTTCGGAGAGTCGGGGAGTTGACGACACATGCACCTTTCCCTTCTTTCTTCCTCCTGCTCCTCCCGGGATCCCACCCCCAGTCTCTTTCAGCAGCCCTGGCTGTGCAAACGTTCGTCTGATCCTCTCACGCAGCCCCTTTCATTTCTTGTCATGACACTTTTTAGCTACAGATGCACGTCTTGAATGTTCTTAGGAAGCTTTTTCATGGAGAAGAATCAAAGGAAAAAGCCACTATCTTATTCTAGAAACCTTTCCCAATCCCTTCGTACTGGTGGCCTTAAATTTCCCAAGAAGCCAGTGTCACCACATCCCGAGGGCTAGAAGTCTCTGGGAGTACTTTAGCAGTTAATACTCTCACTCATGGGAAAACTAGCCTATGTGGGTACTTTAGAGCTGAGATGCTTCAGTAAAGACGTGGTGCTGACGAGTGCACATGGGATGTCCCAAGAGCGAGGATCGCAGCCCTGGCTAGCTGCTATCCAAAAAAAATATCTGAAACTAAAATGAGGAAGCCTGAAGAAAAAGGACAAAGAACTATTTTGACCCAGATAAGATTTCTTAGAGTCCTACTTTTATAGGGAACTAGAACCCGCCAGGGCCAAACAGGCGGAATAGAGCAAGGCGGTGCTCGGCTGCTGCTTCCAGGACGGGCGGCCTAGAGTGGCCAAGCCACAGGGACAGCCCCAGCAGAGCTGCTCTCACCAGGTAGAGATGAGCTGCCTGCCTTGCCCTTGGCTCACTGCTCCCCCTCAGTTCCAGAGGCTGATGAAGACCTTGTGACATATCCAGTAAAAACTAGATCATGGGGTGCTGGATCATCGGGAGAATCTGGCAGTCACAACTCTCTTAACTCAAGAGAGGATGTGATCACAATCTCACTCACTGACAAACCAAGATCCGGCCTGAGGCCTCTTTACAATGCCCCAGCTGGGCCTGAAAGAACACTGTCCTCACTGACAGAGAGAGGACCCTGTGAGAGCCACTTCACAGACTGTAGTAACTCTAGGAAATCCCAATTACAAGACTGAAGCTAAGTCTTTGAACTTGGCCTAAAGCCCACTTGACACCAATTGATTCAAGATAGGATCAGGCCTGCCTGGATGAATCTGAAGAACAACGTGTCTTTCAACAGAGACCCTGTTAGAGGGCTGGGGATAAGGGGAGGGAAACGGTGTTTAATCAGGCTGTCCTGCTCATGCGGGATTGCACCGAGATATGCCCACTCTTACCAAGCTGTTGTGCTGGCATCTCCAGTAATGCAAGCTCTCTTCCCGGAACCAGACTACTAGTTAGCAGAAGCCCTAACGCTTGCCTCTGGTCCTGTATGTTCCTGCCACAGCCAACCTCCCTATGTCCTTGACAAACCAGTACCATTAAATTATCCTTGATTTAATAAGTACTTTTGAGCTATATAATGCCTCTCTCCACACCTCCCCAATATTCAGCTTACATTTCTGTCACTTCACTCACACAGGGACTTCTGTCTATCTGTCTCCCCTATTAGATAACCAAGTTCCTTTAACATAGGCAACTGCCATTTCTCATCTTTATGCTTTCAGAGCTTATCAAGATGTCTGGTGTGTGGCAGGCTGTTGAATGAATTAAGCAGATTCTATATTGTTTCTTACCTGTAGTATTTTGGTTGGAAAATCCACCTCAATCATGTAAGCATGATGGGAGCAAACTCTCCCATCCAAGATCTGAAATCAGGAGATCAGTAAAACCAAAACTTAAACCTAGGTTTTCTTTCACTTACTTTTAAAATAAGTACAAAAAATACATGTATGGTTAAAAATCTTACTGGTTAGTAAAGGAAGAATACAAGAAGAGCTACATTTCAAAGACTAACTGTGTAAACAACTTAGAAAAACAGGAGGACCCCAACAACTTAATGGGGAAAAGGACAGAATTCACAGAAATGAAAAATATGCAAGGCTAAGAAAACATTTTTAAAAAACCTTTCCAACCTCACAAGATGTTATCTATTAAATTAGCAAAATTCTAACCAAATATTAATTCTGAAATGATGGTGTAATGTCAAAGAGCACTGATACACACTCAAGTTTGGGGTATGGACAAGGTTAGAGGAACAAGCAACCTTAAAAACAGTTATAACAAAGGTGTGTATGTGAGATTACATGTGTGTATATATAGTACTATGTATATAGATATAAAAATGTAAACTGAAAATACTTTATATTTTTCTATGAATTTTTTTTTTAGAAGCAGGGTCTTGCTATATTGCCCAGACTACAGTGCAGTAGTAGTAGGTAGATGGTAGGCTCACTGCAACCTTGAACCCCTGGGCTGAAGCAACTTTCCTCCCAAGTAGCTAGGACTACAGTCACACACCGCTGCACCAGCTAATAGTCTCTCTATGTTGTCCAGAGTGGCTGCAACTCCTAACCTCAAGTGATCTTCCTGCCTCAGCCTTCCAAAGTGCTGGGATTATAAGTGAGAACCACCATGCCTAGCCAATATCCTAAGAAACTACAGTGCTGATCAAAGTTATGCAGTATGAGTCATAAATTAAGAACCTGGCTCCACTACTTACTGGCTATGTGATCTTTGGTAAATTATTAACACTTTGGGCTCAGTTTCCTCGTTATTAGTAAAACTTTTTAAAAAATATCCACCTTAGAGAGTTGGAGAAAGATTAAATGAGAATATAAAGTTCAGAACAGTGCCTAGCACAGACAGTGCTCAAAAAATGCTAAAAGCTATTACTGCACATATTGGAAATTTGGAAATAGCCAAATGTTTAAGGAGAGAATGATGGTTGAAGATTACGGTAAATCCATACAATGGCATATTATTATACAGTCATTAAAATGTTATCCATGAAGAGTTTTTAATGATGTTGGAAAGATGTTTATAATATATTAAGTGAAAAAGCATGATATAAAATTGAATATATAGCATGATTTCAATTATGTAAAATATACATCAATACGTAAAAAAAGATCTAGCGGAAAACATACCAAAATATTAAAAGCAATTATTTTGAGCAGTAGAATTCGACCTGCTTGCTATTATTTTCTTCTTTACACTTTTCTATTGTTATTTTTTTACAGTAAAGAACATATTACTTTTAAAGCCAGAAAAACACCATAATTTTAAGATGCTAAAATAAAGTAACAAATGGATAATTTAAAAAATTTATAGAAATGACCAACTTTTCACATACAAATGATATAATACAGAAATTATTGTAGCTTGCCAAAACTCAATTGTTTTGTCTAAAATTTACAAATAAGCAGAGTATATTAATATTAATGCAAAACAAATATTAATAAGCCACATAAAGCAGTAAATATCCCTTGATTGAATTCATTTATAAATAAATGTGTGAAATTTAGCATACACAACGCATTCCCTGACCTACAGGCCCATCCTGCACAGGAGTGCCGGCCTCCAGCTGGCCCCACCAGAGCTCTCTGCTGCCCGCTTCTTTTTCCTGCTTCATTCCACACTCCAGGGGCTTTTTCCCTTTCCTATCTATCGAGCTACAAAGTTTCCACCCCTTTTGCAATTTTCGAAGGGAAGAACTCCTCCGGTCTGGTTGTAAGAAAAAGAAAGAAGACAAGGCTTTCTCACCACTTTGAATAACCCCTCCAGAATACTTCCCAATTCTTTATGTGCCATTTTCCTCTTTCTTAAGCAGCTGTAGACCCTGTACTCCTCAACTCTACCCTTCAGGTTTCCCACTTTATCATTAGTCCAAGATGCCATGTTCATTTCAATCAACCAATTTTTGTCGTTATAACACTCAGTCTATTAAACATATAAATAGCAGCCTATAGACATGTCATTCAAGTTTTTAACAACAGTACTCAAGAGAATAAACAATGATAATTTTACAGGAGACATTAGAAAATTCTTCATATTCTTAATAATTAAAGGCATTTTTCGGAGCAAATCTCAAAACAGACTTCTTATTTACCTATCAGCATTTTCACCTAAGGAGCCCTGGGTTAGACATTATGTCTGTATTTTAGCCAAAATGCTGGAAAACCATTCTAGCTAACAGGTAACAGCTGTTCACCCAAACATCATCCACACTGCATTAACCAGATTATTTATGACTGAATTTTTCAAAGTGGCATAAGCAGAAACTCTCCAGATGTTAATGTACTTTGTGGCTGTACGAGATTTAACTCTCACAGTAAAAACTACCCTTTATACAACCTACCAATTTAATGAATACCAAACTTTAAAAATACAACATACTCTAAATGCACCATAAATTTATATTTGTTAATCTTGATGTTAGAACATTTAAACATTTTAAACTACATAAAAATATGACAAACGATATAAAATAGAAAGAAATTTGTTGACAACTTACTTCCAAAACATCACTATTTCTTATGTTGCAATTAAGCAACAAGACAGCTTACACAGCTCTTCAGAAAACATACAGTGTTTTTTAGTGGAGTGTTATCAACAAAAATCAGCACAATCCCACACAATGATGTCTCCAATTTATTATCTTTTCCACAGTACAAATTTTCACAAACCATAAATCTGTTGCAGTTATTCAAAGTCTGTAAACATGTGCCTGAGTCCCCACATCACCCCATCTCAGTTTAAGGTTGTGAATGTTTTAAGTCCTTCAATCAAGTTTCACTCTTCCACTTGCATAAGGAATTGAGAGCCCCCTCTCTTTAAATTATTTATATTCTATCATACAGGCTGCAATGCAGTAAATCACAGTGAAAGCCCTGGGGAAAACAAAACAACATGATCTTTACAGCAGGACTTGAAACTTTACAATATTAAATGCATTTAAAGAAGCTTCCCATAATAAAAGCGTGGGTTTTCATTTCCAGAAATCAAGTCAATTAGAAACCCTAGGTTCTACTTAAAAATTCATTTTGATCTAAAAGTGAAAACAGTCCCCTATCCATAGTCATTTTATAAACTCTACACAGTCCCACTTGCAGATATTTTCTTTTCCAGTCTGGAAAACAGTAGTGCAATTAGTTTCACTTCTTTTAATTTATTTAGTCCAGGATGTAAATAGCTCTGTGGAAAGATAAGACGACGCTCTGGTAAACGAGAAGTCTTTGCAAGCCCACGCTGGCTTGCTAGTCCATTAAAGCCTCTAAGTCCACAGTGGCTTTCAACAAATGTTGTATAGACATCACCAATAACAAAGCAGAAATAAATAGGCAGAAATGACTGTAAACTGTCTCATCTCTTAATGATTTTTCAGTAATAACTGACTTCACGGATTGATTTTATAGTCATTTAAATAAGCAGACAGTAGACAGCTGTCCTTAAGGACACTCCACGATGGCACGCAGTCTGGAAAGCCCCAATGGAGTTACCTTCCTAAAATTAAAACGAACAAAAAAATGGAGCGGAGGGCAGGAGACAAAAGTTTACAGATGCCACTTGAATGGGATCCCATCGAGTCTGCCAGTTCACTTAGATTTCTTCTTAAAAAGGCTTTTGATTTTGGATGGCTTTTTGCTTTTCTCTCCATTATGGCAAAGGTCATGTGGGATGCTGCTTATCCTGGCAACATTTGGGGCTTCGTGCACTGGTTTACTGTCATTGCCAGCTGAGGAACATGAAGGGTGGCGAGGCTTAGGCACCGGGATGCCACTGGAAAGCTGGTTCATACTACAGGATTTCTCCAAGATGCCATTGTACACTTTGCTTGCAGGGCTGAAGATCATACTCTTCGTTTCTGTCAGACCTGCACAATCAGGAGAGCCCCGAGAGACATCTGCAGTTATGGGCGAATCCCCTCTGGAGGAATCCTCCAGCGATAGCTCATCTCTCGATATCTTCCGAGGAGACAATGTTTGGTATATCTCAAGGCTTGAAGGAGGAGACTGTTTCCTTCCGATGGAAGAATTTAAGGAGTCACATTCTGAAGCTGTGTCTGGCACTTCCCTGAATGAGAAAGAGGTAAAGATTTTAAATCCGTATGTTTGTAAAGGGTACTAGTAGCAGACTAGCAGACATTCTAACTGAAACAGCTTGCATTATTTAATCTATTGAAATTCCAAAGGGAGACAGGCTATTAGAAAATCACTACAGGGTGGCACCTGTGGCTCAACGAGTAGGGCGCCAGCCCCATATACCAGGGGTGGTGGGTTCAAGCCCGGCCCCGGCTAAAACTGCAAAAAAAAAAAAAAAAAAAAAAGAAAATCACTACTTTAAATAATATAGTTTCCCCAAACTCAATGTTTCATTTCTAAAATAAACTGTAATGAGATCTTATAAACTAAAAAAAAGAGAAATTAGCATTTTGTCACAGAAATAAAAATGCTTAAATTTTACAAATGATTCCACTATCATTTCAGCTACTTCTATGTTTCATTCATCATTATTTTTCTCTCTAAATCAGATTAAGAAATGAAAGGTAGAGTCAAGGTAAAAGTAACCGGTAGTGGGGAAGGCACAGAGCTGAAGGCAGAAGGCAAAGGCAAGGCCACACGTGATTACGATCCACCAGTGAGAACCACGTCAAGACTTCATCCCCCTTGTCTTGGCAGCTCAAATTATAAGCAAGTGCACAGCACACAGCAAGGACTAAATTCATATTTACACTAATAAAATGAACAAATTGAATGTTCTCTCATCTGTGATGGACTATGATTACTACCATTTTTCATGTTGTTGATAATGCAGGTTTATTAGAGGTCTAGCATTTGCTTTTGACAAGTATTTTATGTTAATATATTATACATTAGATTGCTGAATTTATTTAGCCATTTCTATATATTTTACTCAATCATGTGAACATTATCTTACTATTCTACAAGCACCCACAGGGTACTTGGACAAACACACAAAATCTCTTGGACAAACAAAGACTTAAGTAATGGTTTCATGCACCTGTGTGTGTGGTACAGTTCTCAAATGCTTTTACAATAATGGGTAGTGGTGACAGAAGGCAAGAAGCAGTTCTGACATGAAGAAACGATCAGACTCAGAAATTAATCATTGACAAGAACATTTCGGCAAAGTTTCTCTTTAGAATGGATGTTGATGAATAGAAGATATCACTGTTCGGATTCTAAAGTCAGAAGCCGATTTAGTGACAATTTTATGTTTGATGGAGGGAGGGTAAAAGGTGGGACCACCACACCTATGGAGCATATTGCAAGGGTACAAGTCAAATCTGTCAAGTGTAGAACATAAATATCTTAACACAATAATCAAGTAAATGAGGCAAAAGCTATGTCGATTGGTTTGATGCAACCACCTCAGATTGTATAAAGAAATCAACATGCTGTACCCCACATATATATAAATGTATTCAAGATCTATGTGCATATGACTTAATAAAAAAATTAAAAAGTTACAATTTTATGTATTTGCTTTTTTTCTATGTGGGCTGGCTGCTTTAAGCTAGTCTAAAAGTATTTTTAAAACTAGCTTTTAAACTCTAAGCAAGGTGTGAAAAGAATGCTGATCTAAGCCAGCAAACCTGGATTCTCGTCCTAGTCCTGCCATTAACAATCCACGGCAAATTACTTGATTTCTTTAGATCTCAATTTTCTTTATCTGTTAAAGTAGAATTTGATTACTAGCTCCTGGTAATTCTAGTTCTAACATTCTAATTCCATAACAAATACTAACCTAAAGTGTTGCTTCTTCATAACTAATCAGACTTGGACTGTAGATAGTACATCTTAAATTTTCACTTTTTTAAAATTTCAGATTAATGTGTGGGTACAAACAGATTCCATACTTTGCACTTGTAAAGTCAAAGTCTGAGTTGTAGGCCACTGAATTTTCACTTTCAGAGCACATATTCCTTGCAATGTTGAATTAAAGATGTGGACCATTCATGCTATCTTTCTACTTCTTTGCTTCTCCCACAGTGACATGTAGTTAAGTTTATCACGTCTAAGATGACTTAACTCAAAGGTCAGGTTTGAGTAAGCATAGACACGTGTAATACGTGCAGCGTAAAAAGTTAGAGAGTATCAAAGATTATTATTTTGTAAGAATTCTAGTGGTTCAATAGTGGAGAGGAGGGAAAGTTCCCTGAATTCAAATTCTTCTCATATTTCTCAGCTAGCTATGCGTTTCTGACTTGAAATAAGAACTGGACGTTCCATCACTGCAGAAAGTTCCAGTCCTGCAGCTCTAGAGTTTCCTGCCAATTTCCAGAAGCCACATAAGACCAGTTTTGTCAGTCAAGCCATTTTGCTGGTAACCGTGGTGACAGTGCAGAGATACACAGAAAGCTAATCATAAAGCACCGTGTCAAATTCTCCAAGTTCAATAAGGCTGCAAATCACTTTGCAACACAGCACAGTATTGCTTACCAATATGGAACAGTATCTCTTGCTAATCATCAATTTTTCTTTTATTAGGTGATAAAACAATTATGGATTAAAAATTATTTTTAATGATAATGTCACCCAAAGTTATATGATAGAGAGCTACAAGGCCCACTGAGACACCCAGCGCATCCCTTTGTTTCCCTATGTGGATGGGAAGACTCATGGCTACTTAGTGGCAAAATCAGAAACTAGAAACTAACACCAGCTTTTCTGACACTTAATACGATACTGCTTCAAAAGAAGAATGTAGTTTAGAAACAGAGCTCTGCAAAGATTTCATATAGCACTGGTATCCTTTAGTCAAACTAGAATATACTGCTACTATAGCCATTTTGTAAAAACAAACAAACAAAAAATCTTATTGAGCTATAAAATTATATGTCAGGAACCCTTTAAGTTCCTGACATTTTCTTAAACCCTGGGTTTTGATACTGCTTGTATCTTAGCACATAACAATATTGTTGCTCTAAGTGGCAACAAATATTTAACAACTTAGTCACATTTGCTGTTTCTTTGTGTTCAAGTATACTTAAGCTCATGCGTTCCTACTTTACATCTAAAATTGCTCATATGACACGTTTATGTTCTGAGACCTGAGTTAATGGAGTCCAGTGGTCCCTCTGCAGTTATAGCTCATAATAGCCAGAATTCTAAGATGCCCACCCAATTTTCAATCCCTAGTGTACATATGTGAGTCATTATGAACATTTTGAGATGCACAAATTCAAGAATCATAAAACCCACATGGATGGAAACAAATGAAGCCCTCCCAGCAACACTGATAAGTCCAGCAAGTTGAAACTTGCACAGATCAATCAGAAATGGTACCACCAGCTGTGTTTCTTGGAAGTGAAATAATGGACCATAACACAATCTTTCTCAAAACTTTCACAGTGATCTATGTATATTTTTTCTAGTTACTCAACCAAATACAAATGTTAAGTGCTGCCATGCAGGCATTTCACAGATAAAATTAAGGCCCCAAACTAACCTACAGAGATTCTTATCCAACAGTTGAGCCTTTTAAATTTGAATCTAGAGGTCAGAGACAGAAGTCAGAGACTCAGAGACTCAAAGCCAAGGAGAGATTCACAGACATGAACTCTCTGCTCTGGATTCACTGGTGGAGCCCATGTGGCAAGGAACAGCAAACAGACTTTAGGAACTGACAGCAGCCCCCAGCTGACAGCACACACAAAACACAGGGACCTCAGTTCTATAACCACACGAAATGGATTTTGCTACAACCCATGAGCTGAGGACCCCGAGCTGCAGATGAGAATGCAGCCCAGCCAGCACTTAGACTGTAGCCTCCTGAGATCATGAGCAGAAAAGCCAGTAACACCATGCTGGCCTTCAGATACATAAAACTAAGTTAAGAAATGGGTTTGTTTGAGGCCACTAAGTCTATAGTGACTTGTCCTGCTGCAAAGGAAAACTGACACCACACCCACTCTTCCTCACCCCCACGGCCCAACATGCACTGGAGATTTCTCACTGCCAGTACCATTGCTTCTCAGCAGAGAAGTAAATGGCCTCCTCCTCCTCTTCATTTCGATAAAGTGCAGGGCAGCTTGACACGGACAGGATATCCGGGTCAGGGGAAGGTAACGAGTGCTGCGTGTGCTGGGGGTGGTGAGGATGCCGAGGGTGCGCCGGGTGAGGAGCCTGGGCCGGAAGCTGAGCTCGCTGAGACTGCGGGGAGGACGGCACGATGCTGCGGCGAGAGCGGCACAAGCTGCTGCTTCTGGCTAAGGATCCAGGGGGTTTAGCCATGGTCCCTGAGAAACACAGACAAAAACGCTCATGAAGTCCAGCGATCATGTGTATGGTCACTACAAATATACACAAGAGAGCTGATGTCACTAATACGTCACTATTTAATCTCCCTTTATTGAACTAACTATACAATTATTTTCTTCTCTACCACCTATGCTAGTAAGGTTAAGAAATAAGAAATAAAAATGTAACAAAAGGGAAAACAGCTCTAATAGATGAACAGAAATGAACATAAACACATGAGGCTTTAATAGAAAATCTAAATATACTAACCACAAAGGCTTAAAAATTGACCTATGATAACAGATCCTTAAATTTAAAAATCAACACAGCCTATTTATAAGAAATACATATTTTACTAAAAACTTTAATTACTATTAGTTAAAAGGGTAAATGATCAGTGTAATGTAGATTGGAGCTTTACCAATGAATATCTCTTGAAATATCACAACTTGTTTAAATTTCAAGTAGTTTTTATTAAATCAAGGAAATCATTTAACTATTGTATGCACAGTCTCTCAGCTAGTTTCGAGCTGAGGCCAAAACTTGGTTCTCGAACACTGACTCCCACGGCACTAAACACAAGTCTTAGATCATCCTGTTTCTGCTACTGGTCTCAGCCTAGACCCACACATCTGTCTTCATTGAGTGGGTGGTCCTCTTGTTTCCCTTAGCTGGAACACAGCTATAGCACCAGGTCTAACTATCACTCTTTGCTGATGATGTGACCTTATACTTAGAAAATCCCAAAAATTCCACCAAGAGACTCCTGCAATTGATAAATAAATTTAGCAAAGTCACAGGTTACAAAATCAAAGTACAAAAATCAAGAGCATTCTTATACACCAACCAGCCAAGCTGAGGATCAAAGCAAAGATTCAATACCTTTCATAAAAGCTATAAAGAAAATAAAATACCTGGGAATATATGTAACCAATGAGGTGAAAGATCAATACAAAGAATGATCAATCACTAAGGAAGGAAACACAGATATAAACAAACGTTAAAACATATCAGACCCGTGGATCAGCAGAAACAACAGTGTTAAAATGTCCATACTACCCAAGTGATCTACAGATTCAATGCAATTACCATCAACATACCAACATGATTTTTCACAGATCTAGAAAAAGTAATTCTATGTTTCATTCTGGAACAAGAAAAGAGCCCAAATAGCCAAAGCAAGCTTAAGCAAAATGAACAAATCTGGAGGCATCACTGTACCAGACTTAAGCTATCCTATAAGGCTACAATAACCCAAATAGCATGGTAGTGACACAGAAATGGTGACAACAGACCAATGAAACAGAACAGAGAATCCAGATTTAAAACCATCCTTACATTGACAAACCAGATAACAATATACTATTGTCTAAAGAATCCCTATTCAATACATGGTGCTGGGAAAACTGAATACCTACATGCAGAAGATTGAAACACGATCCACACTTCTCACCACTCAAAAAAAGCAATTCATGATGGGTAAATGACTTAAATCTAAGGCAGGAAACCATAAGAATTCAAAAAAAAAATGCTGGAAAAACTCTTCTGGACATCAGCCTTGGCAAAGAATTTATTAAGAGATCCCTAGGGACAAACACAGCAACAAAAACAAATAAATAGGACTTGATTAAATTAAAAGACTTCTGCACAGCCAAGGAAACAATCAAGAGAGTGAATAGACAACCTATAGAATGAGAGAAAACACTTGCATGCTATACATCCAATAAAGGGCTAGTGACTAGAATCTACAAAGAACTCAAGGAAAAAATGAAGGAAAAAGCCAAACAACCCCATTGAAACGTGGGGAAAAGACACAAACAGAAGCATTTCAAAAGAAGATAGACTAATGGCCAATAAACATATGAAGAAATGTTCAATGTCACAAATCATAATGAAAACCAATTAAAACACAATAAGATATCACCTAACCCCAGTGAGAATGGCTTTTATTAAAAAGTCCCAAACAATAGATGCTGGCATAGATACAGAAAGATGTACGCTATTCATGGGACTGCAAACTAGTATAATCTCTATGGAAAACATTCCTCAAAGAAAAAATCTGGACTTACCATTTGATCCAGTAATCCCACTCCTGGGTATTTACCCAAAGGATAAGAAATCATTTTTCTCAAAAGGACACTTGCACTCGAATGTTTATTGTAGCACAATTCATTATCACAAAGATGTAGAATCAACCCAAGTGCCCATCAATTCCTGAGTGGATTAGCAAAATGTATGTATACCATGGAATACTACTCAGCCACGAAGAAAGATGACTTAATTCCTTTTGCAAAAATATGGATGGAACTGGAGATGATTATCCTAAGTCAACTACAGAATGGAAGAACAAACAACACATGTACCCACTATTAAATTGGAACCAACTGATCAACACTCGTGGGCACAAATGGAAATGAAGCAAGCCAGAGGGATAAGGAGGGGATTGGTAAAACCATACCTTCTGGGTACAGTGAACAATACAGGGGTGATGTGCACACTTACAACCCTGACCCAAGCAGCACAAAAGCAATCCATGTAACCCTGTAATATTCTGAAATAAAATAAATAAAGTACATAAATAAAGCCAAGAAGTTACATTCCAGAATCCCTGTAATATTCTGAAATAAAATAAATAAAGTACATAAATAAAGCCAAGAAGTTACATTCCAGAATCCCAATTCTTAACCATTACATTATACTGCCTTTCTAAAAACAGAAAATAATAGAATAGAATGGAAGAATCCCCCTCCAATCCTTATGCCTTTTTTCCTCTTTTTGTCTAAAGTAAGACCTCTAATAAAATACTGAATTAATAACGGTAGTGCCTATAGCTCAAGTGGCTAAGGTAACAGCCACATACACCAGAGCTGGCGGGTTCGAATCTGGCCTGGGCCTGCCAAACAGTGGCAGAGGATACGTTTCAAGATCCCTAGAGGACGCCAGAAACTGTGAATGGTACCACATTGTATATATACTGTGGTTTTTCCTATACAAACGTATTTGTGGTAAAGTTCAATTCATAAACTAAGCACAGTAAGAGATTAACAATAACTGATAATAAACAATAATTATAGCAATACACTGTAAAAAAAGTAATGCAAATGCAGTCACTCCCTCTCAAAATATATTATACTGTATTCACTATTTTCAGCCCATGGTTGACCACAGGTAACTGAAACTCTGAAAAGTAAAACGACCAATAATGGGGACTACTCCCTGACTTATTTTATGATTCTAATATAATCTTGGTACCAAAATCAAATAAGGACAGTATTGGGGAAAAAAAGTATTGGCTAATCCAATGTATAATAAAAAATGTAAAAACCCTAAATTACAAACCAAATCCGATGCATTATAAAAATAGTACATTGTAGCAAATATAGTTTTACTGATATTTGAAAGATTTAAAGATTAAGATTCAACAGAATAAATAGAAATAAATAATCACCTCAAATTATGCAGAAAAAGAAAGAATGGGATAAAAGTTAACACCCACAGATTTGAAAGAAAAAAATTCTTAATAAATGAGGAGCAAAAATGAATTTCATTAACTTAAAATAATGTACCTAAAACATAGAGCAAAAATAATACTTTACGGTGAAATATGGAAACATTCTTAAAGTCAGATATGGCAATCACTATTGTCTGCAGTTGACATTTTAATTCACTACATATTTTTTTTGAGACAGAGCCTCAAGCTATTGCCGTGGGTAGAGAGCCATGGTGTCACAGTTCACAGCAACCTCCAACTCCTGGGCTTAACTGATTCTCTTGCCTCAGCCTCCCCAGTAGTGGGGACTACACCCGCCTGCTACAACACCTGGCTTTTTTTTGGTTGTAGTTGTCACTGTTTGGCAGGCCTGGGTCAGATTCGAACCTGCCACTTGAGCTAAAGGCACCACCATTAATTCAGTATTTTATTGGAGGTCTTATCTTAGACAAATAAGAGGGAAAAAGGCATAAGGATTAGGGGGGAAATATATTCAAAATAAAAAACCCCAAAGACTCTCATAAGAGACTTCAGTGTTTCCGGATATAGCATCAACATACTAATTTCACCAACATTTCTTCAGCAGCAACAAACATTCTGAAGTATAATTTTTTTTAAGAAGGGTAATTATCATACATATCAGAAAAAGCTATTAAGGTACCTAGAAATTATTCTTTTAAAAAAATAATATGCAAGGCCTACACACAGAAAACAACTTATCACTTTTATTTAAAGATATAAAAGATCTCAATAAAAGGAATTTATTAAGAATTCTCCCCAAATAAATCCACTAATTTAAAGAAATTTTTTAAAAAATCAATGAAACATTCCATGGAATTTCACAAACTGATGAACAAAATTGAGAGCTAGAGGCATTGATGTATCTATGGAGAGAAACTGTATTACAAATAAGCGGGGCTAGAGCAGGAATGAGGCTGGGACAACTGTTCACCCATACATCAAGGATAGATATATTTAGATTCCAACCTCACACTATGAACAAAAGAACTTCCAGGTGGATTAAAGAACTAAAGGATTAAAGAAAAACTTAAAAACTTTTAGAAGAGCAAATAAGAATATATAATCTTTCAAAAAGATATAAAAAGCACAAATCAGATTCACGTATTTGCCACTAAAGAAGCCACATTCTAGGAGAAGATTCCTACAACCCTCACTCAACCAGAAAATAAAAGGAGTGCTTCCAAATCAGTAAGGAATCTTGGAGGGACTCTACAGCAATACTCTGTAAAAAACAACTCAGAGAGGAAGAAACCTGAATAACAAATGCCAGTAAATGAAACGGTACTCAACCTCCACAGTCATCAGGAAATAAGTATTTTAATAATAGTGAGGTATCACTTCACACCCATTCAAGTTGCAAAACAAACAAACGAGTTATTGCAAGTATTGATGAGGCTACAGGCACACAGTCACTCTTACAAACAGTGGGCATATAAATACTGGTGGAATCATTTTGAGAGCACTGTCTAGTAAGAGGTCTCTTTCTACTGACCCAACAATCTATTTCTAGGTGTCCACACAGAGAAAATGTCAGAGTTACACACAAGGAGAGGCAGGAAAGGATGGTTTCTGCATATTGTGTGTGAGGGCACAAAAGTAGGGAAAAAAATCAGTGTCAGCAAAGTATGAATGTGGTTTTAAATATAATAGTATTAACTCACATAGTGACAGTGAATATAATCCATCTACAAACATAGAAAATTTGTGAAATGTACTTTTGAACAAAAAGTTCCAAAATAATACATACAATTTGATAACATTTAAACAGACAATTGTGGATATATTGCTGTGGATATATATGTAAGTTTGCACTTTTATATAAAAGTGCAACAGATTCTAGAATGAGTCACAGCTTTTGAGGAGTGGGAACGGGAGGCACTTAAAAGGGAGATTTAGCAGCCTTATCTGTAATGAGTTGCTTCCAAGGAAAATAAATAACGCAAATATTAAAATCTAGTTACCTTTGTGGTAGCTGAGCATATTGTTTTCAGTAATTTCAGGTACATATGAAGGCCTTTATTATAAGAAATTTTAAATAAATTGCTACTACACTGTCATTAGGAGAGAACTTAGCAGACACTAAAAGTAGTAATAAGGAAACAACTATGATCCATTCTACTACCTACACAAAGTTAGCTGTTGATATTTTCTGGTTTTTATTTACAAATAATTAAACATAGATAATATTCTATGTTCAGTGTTACTTTGTTCTTAACATACTACAGGCATGCTTACTTGTCATTATTTCAAAGTTATAAAATTTATATATACCTATGGAAAAAAATTTTAAACTGTCCAAAATGGTATATAAAAGAAGAGTCTTCATTCTACTTTAGACTAATATATTGCCAAGACTTTCCAATTTATCCAGTCCAGAAATTATGCTTTGTAACTTAGAGTGGAGTACCACTGCAGTGCCACTGGGTGGAGGCAGAGCCCTCAAATTGTAATGTGTGGTATCGGTTATTTTATTTATTTATTTTGGAGATGATACATTTGATCACAGCATTTCTAAAGCATATTAAATTTAAAATCAATTCTTGTATTTTTTTCACATTTAAAAGGTCAAATTTATCTGTATGCCACAATCAATTAAAACTAGGGTAATTATTCTCATTTAGTATAAGTGTTTTTTCTTTTAACAGACATATATATTATCTATTCCCTTTTGTTTTTTACTCTATAAAATGCATCTTCATACAAAATTATGATTTGAAGGAGGAACTATGACTTTAAAAAGCTACAATTTTCAAACAAAAGTATATACTTATGAATCAGTGTTGTGTTTATAAGCTTAAAGAAATGTAATTCAAATAACAGTCACAAACTGACAATATTCAAACTGAGGATCCAGCCCAGATCTAGATGTGACTTTGCAACCATCACTACCTGGCAGTGTGGGGCGAATGACATGAATGGGGTCACACACTTGCAGTGTTCACTGCATTCACGTTCTGCCCACCCCTCCTGCCTCCTGCAGAGCTGAGTGGCTCCTCACTCTCCTTGTGTCATCTGCCATTAACCCAGAGAATTAAAACCACAAAAATAATACAAGCACATAGTCACTGAGAATTAAATTTCAAATGCAGGGCTTTATTTCATAAAGTTGTTTTAAAAATTAGAACCCTTTGTAAATCATAACTTCAGAAACACTATAATGACTGGATAGGAAAATTCAAACTGGAAAAAGCCATACACGATTTAACTGGTCTCAAAGAGTGTAATTTCCAGGTAAGCTTCAACCAATCAATGACTAAATTCTGTTTTCCAATCTTTGGAACCCTGTTCTAAGATACACTGTCACAAATATCTGAAAGATATATCAAGCAGGCAATAATAAGCATGAAGAGTTTTTTAAATGTTTTCTAATACAATTGGTTTCTTCCTAAAGTCATTTTAAAATTCAAAATCTCTAACTTTGTAAAAAGTTAAAACTAATATATTTTCATTTTATCTTCACTTTAATGATTTCTCACAATGTAAAAATTTTCAAAGCATAGAGCACAACAAAGCAGTATCAATTCACATGGAAGGAAACCATCTCTGGAGGAGTTCCATTTTCTAACAACCAAACACACATATATATGCATATATATGTAAGTTTTTCCAAACATAAACACTGTTTTTAAATTTCTTTTGGTAGAAGGTTGAATTAGTAATACTCTTTCAATAAAAGAACAGACCTGGAAAGGCAAAACAAAATACTAAAAAACATGCCTAGTAGGAATAGCAACTGAACTTAAATAAATTTTCAGACTGGCTCAAAGTCCACAGTTCATTAGCGGCAGAGCTAGGATTTAAACTCATGTTTCCAAGCTCTTGCCCTGACTTTTATTTCTTCTATCGATTAAGCTTCCATTTGGAAAGATGTCTTCCCTCACAGCTCAGCATTTCATTCCTACACTGACTGGGCATTTACAATACGCCATCCTTACTGTCACTTGTCTCTTTACGTCACTCCCCCATTTCAACTTAATTATAATGTATTATATAGCAACTTAATTATTAATTTTTGTTTTAACAAAGTTTTATATTCAACACTTAATATAATGAGCTATTACATAATAGTTGCTCAAGTAGACATTGTTAAGGAATGACATTAATTAAGCATTCAGGTTTCTTACAAATATGTGTATAAAGTTATAATATACATACATAAAGTATATATATATATGCACATCTCATACAATGTTCTCAAACAGTAAATGCTTAAATTATTAATAAAAGAAAAAAATGAAAAATAGACAAAATTTTGACCATCGATTTCAAAGTACATCATTCCTAAAAGCACATGGTAGAAAGTTCCTTTAAAAACTGTACCAATGTTTTCTGTTGAACTCACCACTTACCAGGAAATTGTGACACTATTGGGGGTGTATCTTCATCTAAGTCATCAACTCCTCCAGCAATTGGGTAGGGTGGAATAGAGACTCTGGGCATCACCACCCAGCTGTGATCAGAGTACAGAGAGGAGGTCAGGCTGGGGAGGCCTGAGTTATGGGCTATCTGAAAGCCACAGATCTTCTCAATCTGCTGCCAACGAAAAAGTCGTTCTCGTAAACAAGTCGTCAGCTCAGAGAGAGCTTTCCTGGAAAAACCAATACAAGAATTACTTACTGCATCAAAGAGTCTTTACTATGGCACTGAAAAAAGGCAATTACATGACCAGACCATCGCAATTAACTAATTTCAAAAGGAAATTATCCACTGTTAGAACTTGTGTGAATTATGTAATTATATAATTAAATGATAAATTTAAATATAAACTGTCTATAAATTACTCATTTCAACACAGTAGCAAATAAAGAGATAGCTAAAATAACATTCTCACTTTGCTTCCAGAATTTTGTGGTCTACCTCATCCAGGGAGGAGCTGTGTGCAACATGCAGAGTCCCAAAGACTGTACTTCTCTTCTTTTTAATTTTTTCTGCCTAGAAACCAAAAAGGAGAAAAATAAGGCTAGGTTTAAAAAAACACATATGCTAAGGAAGTTTATTCTGATTTTGAATGTACTAATATTTATCATCATAAAACCAGAGCAAATTTACCAGCCAAGAAATAGCCCTATTTTCAAAAGAAAACAGATGAGGACTAAAGCATGCTGTCCTAAGTAAATCAATTTATCCTGGAAAATGTTTCTCTTATTTCTGTGTTTCAGAAAGACCTGACTCTTCTATTAACACTGAAGATGAGCATTAACTAGATCCTACTGCAGTGGAGGTATTCGTGAGTGCACTGAGCATTTTTTTCTTTGCTAAAATTCAGATTAAGGCTTATTCTTACTCTACACAATTGAATAAGTGTCAAAATTAATTTCTAGTAACTACTAACCTGAATCAGATATGAAGCAGCAACCTAGAGGAGAAAAGCTCCGTATAAAACTTATATGATAACAGTAAGTAATGATAACTTCTACATGACACTAAGGTCATTTTGGAAGGCATACAGTTCTCTAAATATACTAATTATACTTTAAAGCCTACGATTACAAGAGCCAATTTACACAGTAAGTTACAATTCAAGAAAAGAATCTGTGATAAAAAACTTTGATTCAGCTCTTTTTATCCCGTTGGTTAGTCCCTCTAACATCCAGCCTAAGAAACAAGCTCAGTAAATTCTGAAATATAAGAATACCTCATCCTTAGCAATGGCTAACTGCATTTCAGCATTTTGTCTTTTAATATTGTAATATTGTACTTCAACTTCGTGCGTTAATTGAAGCCATTTTTGAAGTGCATCTGGAACGGACCAGCTGCTTCTTAGTTCAAATTCTTTTTCAGCTTTTTTCAGAGCCATGCGAACCTGGAAGAAGGGAGGGAGGGAAACAGGAATGGAGAGAGGGAAAAACGGAGAATTAAAACATTTTTTAATACCCAAACTAAATGAAAAATCAGTTTCATTTATAGTCTTTGTAAACACAAAATTAAATTGCAACGCCTAAATACACTCTCCTAAGCAAAGCTGTAAAGCCAGAGAGGGAAGAGGGGGCTTATATATATATCTTAAGTTGCAATATTTTGATTTTATATTTTACATTATCCAGGCTCACTGAAGAAAAAAATCCAGGGCACATACAAGTTACAACTTATCATACTTTTCCTATAATATGTATTTGGTTTATGAAGAAATGTACACAATCAAGTGGACAGCTATTCTAATAACCCTTATGTCCCCAGAAGATCCTATTATAGTTTCTTAACTATATATTCTTTTTGTTCATGTAATTATACCTTTTTTTCTGTAGTTTTTCATGACACCTTTGTGGCCAGTTATATCTCACTGTTTTAAGCATTTCTGCCTATTATACTACACAGTTTGTTTTACCATTTCTGCTACTTAATTCACTGTTTCTAATATACCAGAAAGTAGATAAGTGAGCATTTGCAGACCATATATAAATTTTAAGAAAAAAGATTCTGAATGGGACTCTACTTCATTTTTCCATGAGAAACTACACATAGCCTTCAGTATAAGGATATCAGAGTATTTTTTTCACCTGCCCTTTAAACAAGCCAGATAATAAACAGAGAAAACTAAAAATCTTAGTGTTTTAGATGGTAATAAAGTCCTAAGGAAAAAAAGTCTTAAGGAAAGCCTCATTAAGAAATGACACAGAAGGAAGAAACAATCCATTCTTGGAATGATCTACTTAAAATCTAGCAAGAGCTCACACTAAAGATGTAGAAAGATATGGAATGATGGAATTTAGGAAACTGTCCACAGACACTCCAAGACCTTCAGGCCAAGTGATGAGTGAACTACAGGGCATCCTGCTTCGGGAGCACCACAAAGGCAGACGGGTTTTCTTCAAAGTAACTAAAGTAACTGAAATGCCATTCCTAAGTTACAGAGCAGAGATATGTTTGATTTGAACAAACCTATTTTACTCAAATAAACCACAAGAAGTACCTTGTGCAAACTTCTAATAAAAAAACAGGTTTTAGATACTATGAAAAAAAGAATTATGTAGAAAAAACTTTTACAATTCCAAAATTACAAACAAAAATTTGCTTGGAACACTAAATAAATAATTTTTAAAAAGAGAGAGAAATTAACGTAAAAGTAGGATGGTGTTTACTCACTGAAAACAAATCTCAAGCAGCATCTGCCTGGCATGATTCATCACACAATATCTTGGGACAATATTGTATTTAATAAGAGAGCTGGGTAAGCCGTGTGGCGTCCCTGCTAATCTCTCAGGAAGACAGAACCTGAGCTGAGGTCCTGTGACACGTAGTTGTACATAACACCACAAAATGTACGTCAGCAAGACCTTTTTCTCAGGAGATTTTAAAGCTAAAATTTCTATACAGTTTTCATTTCCAAGGAAGCATACAAAGAATCTCAACACAAGTTATTCTCTTAATTCATAAAGACTGTCAATAAATTTACTTCCCCTAAAAGAGCTCAATGGAACGCATTCAACATGGAAACTATATATATTTTTAGCATAAAGTGAGGCTGAACACTGATTAGACTGTCAATGTCTCAAGTGGAAATTCTGACCTTTTAATAATGGCAACTATTTAGCTGTTTCTCTAGTATTAGTATTAGTATTTAGCATTCAAACTAAAACCCAATCCTTAAATTTAAGTTATACTGTCATTTATTGTAATGGAACACAGTAAAACATTGAGTAATTAATAATTTTTGCAAATAAGGAGTTACTATTTAAAATTATAACTATTTACATAAATTGTGAATCTTAGGAATAAAACAGTAAGTAAAAAAAAGGATGTCACAGAAAGAAACAGACTAAATATCTGAGAACCTGACTTTTATTTGACCTTGTCACGTACTACCTGTGACCTTCAGAAGGTTCTTTACCTCCTGGGAATACTGTATTATCACCTGTCTTGACTAAAGTGTTCTTGAAACTTTTTTTAAGAACAAAATAATTTATATAAAAAGTATTTAAATCACACAAAATTTAAGTGATATTATTGGCCACCCAAAAGTCCTTGTTTTAGGGAAAATAACACTATGTACAATATATGCCAGATTTTTCTACCTTCTAATTTTAAGAGTTCAATTATCCCTCAGACAAAATATAACAATGCTTTCAACTATGTGGAATTGTGAGTTATGTAACATTATACATAACTAATATTTCCCAGTTATACTTATTTCTATAAACAAAGCATTTAATAGTATGGGAATATACAAGGTTTTAGAATATGACATACAAAATCTTGCCTTTGCTATGTAACAGCTGTGTAACCTAAGGAAGTTATTTAACCTCTCTACATGAAAATAATATTTGTATTGTGAGGATCAAAATTTATAAGCAAACCACTGGCAATGTGTGTAGCATAAACTTATGGCATACAATAAGCACCCAGAGTACTGTGTTTCTTATTCAAACAAACATGTTGGATAGAGTTCTTCCTAAAATATGTTTCCTTTGTTTTTACCTCTTATTGACCCAAGATCTCATTAGGATTATTGTGGTCATACTGGTACATCCTATCATGGTAACTTTCGGTTGTTGACTACTGACTTGTGCAAAGTCTCTATGCTAAAACTTCAGATTACAATGTTCACGATTCTTGAGCCCATTGTTTTTTGTTTTTTTTTTTTAATATTGTGTCTTTTCTCTAACTTTGAGGCAATCAGCTGTATCACTTTATGTCTCTGTAGATATTGCTTTCTGATTTTCCCTTTCTTATCTGCAAAATTTAGAAAAGTAGCTACCAAGCTTGGAACAATCCAAGAGTCAGAAATCTTGCTGGGAATAAGCCAGGCATTCTCACAGGAGTAAAGGGCATAGTATCTAACTCTTAGACACAGTGTAATTTTGGCTCAGAATAATTTTAAAAGAATAAATTTAAAAGAATAAACTCTTTATAAGGAAGAGACCAAAAAAATAGATGACTGAGGTCTGAGGGAAAGATCTTGGAGGAAATAGTAATTCATAGTGAATATTTTCCCATACATTGAAATTAAATGCAATTCATCACATAATTCTTAATTAACTCTCAGTTGAAAAAGTAATAGTGCTTAAAACAGAGTGGAAAGCAGAACATCTAGGTTCTAGCCCCTGCTGTACAACTGAGTCACCAAGTTTGAGCAAGGTTTCTAATACTTTTTTTTTTTTTTTTTGCAGTTTTTTGGCTGGGGCCAGGATTGAACCCATCACCTCTGGTATATGGGGCTGGCACCCTACTCCTTTGAGCCACTGGCGCCTCCCTCTAATCCTTTTTTGCTCCTTAGTTTATTGGTTAAAAAAAAAAAAAAGGTCAAAGTCAGAAGGATATGGGACTACAAAAGCAGAGGTTGGAGTGACTGTGCTCTGAAGACAAAGAAAGGGGCCTTGGGGCAAGTAATGTCCACAGTAGAGAAGACAAGGAACCAGGTCCTCTCCTACAGCCCGCAGAAGAAATACAATCCTGGGGGACCCACTGTAGATGCACTCTGACCTCTGTAACATAACATCAGGATAATACATTTGTGTTTATTTGAGCCACTAAGTTTGTGGTAAACTTTACAGCAGGAATAAGAAATGAATTCATCTGCCTATAATTAAATTCTCCTAACCTCATCTTCTCCACAGGACTCTGTGACATCTAAATGCCTACATCCCATCTTGTGCAACTGAGCAGAATAAAGGACATCTTTTAGACAGTTCAGAACGTTTAATGGTTATGTTCTAAAACTTTGTAATTCAAATGGATGTTTAAGAGATCCTTTACCTTTGCAGAGAATTTCAAAATTAGATACACTTTATTTTACTAGGTTATAGTCAGAAACAAACATATTACAGATGTTAAATAAACACCTTAAATTTACTCAAGACAATGAACATGGCAAGATTTCATGAATGAGTGAACATGATGACAATCTTATCTTTCAGTTGCTACTTTATTATTTTGTCATACTGACTTTGATCAATGCTAGAAATATAAATGAATTTTTCTTTTATTAACTGAGGAACTGTACACAATGAAATTACATGCAGAAGACTGTACAAAAACAAGACCTGGCTCCCCAGAGCGGCAGTACAATAGCCAAACGAGTCATTCGTTGATGTGAATACCTGTTCCAACTCCTGCTCTGCATACTGACGGCGACTCAGTTCACATTCAGCCCCCTCCCTCAGCTCTCTCAGCCGACAAGCCTCCTCCTTTGCGAAGTTGATCTCATCCATCATTTTGCGCTCTAGATTTTGCTTTTCTACGGCAACATTTCTGTTTTCTTCCTGTGCCTTTTCAAGCCTTAGAGAACAATAAAAATGAGAATTCCTCACAAGTTTCCAAAATCTCATTTTTTATAAGAATACTGTTTTCAAGCAATTAGATACATATTTCAATCAGAATTCACAGCATTTTCTGTTAATTGTAAGTTGAAATAATAAAAATATTAGGCAACCTAATATACAGCTGTTTTGGTTATCTTGGGATCAAAAGACAGGGATAGCAGGGAAGCATTCTTCTACAAAAGGTTTTTAAGAAATTCAGAATTATTTAAATCCAGTTAAAAATAAAATTTAACTATATATGTAATTCCACCTACATTTGGTTTACTTCCAATAGTCTTCTACCCATGAATTTCCAAGTGTATAAATTTATAATAAATCTTCAATTATGACAATATTCTACTTTTATAAAACATGAAATATGTGTAATATGTGTAATAACTGTTTAAGCACAGGCCTATATTATATTTTTTCAAACTGTATTTTCTTCCATAAACAAGTTACAGTTTCTTTCACTGACCTCTCTTGTAAGTCCGTTAGACTTTGCTCTGCAGTCTGGAGACTTTCTAAGTCTTTCATCATTTTTGCAACATGTTCTTTTGATGACTTATTCTGCGTATAAGCAAACCAGCACCCTCCAACACCAATTACTATAGAAACTGTGAGGATAAAATCTTTCATCCAGTTATGAGGTGGGCCTATGAAGAGAATTATAGATGATTAATATTTGAATTGTAATAGAACATCAATACACAGAGGCATTTTTTAAAAAATAGTAGGTACCTAAAAGCAAAAGGTCTCCTTCCTAATATAAACCCCAGCCTTTTAAAAATCCTTTCTTCAAATAATCAATGTGTTTATTATAACTATCTGATATATTGAACCTATAGAACAGAAATAAACCCACATGAACACACTACACCTCTGCTGGTGGTAGAGGAAGCAGTGACCAAAGTCACGGGATCCTTGAACAAGCAGCAGTATCCCCAGGCATGTGCTGCCAGAATGGTCGTCCTTGGGTAAAAGGAGTCATCAGGAGTGCCATCATGGCCATTCCAACTCTCCTCCTTCAGTCAAGTTAGGTAGCTGTCATGCGTTCAGACATAAACTGGAACCTAATTATTTGCCCAAAAGCATTTTCCCCCAAGGATGCAGCCATGTAACTATTTAGGTTAATAGTGTCTCGGCTGTTCCCGGCATCCAGTAGGTACTGGATGCTGCAATGTACAAGACAAGGGTAAGGGATACCCTCTATGAGTAAGAATTATCCAGTCCAAAATGCAGAAAGTGCTAAGGCTGAGAAACCCTGGGTTAAATGATCAGAACTAGCATTCCACTTTAGATGGCTACTTGCCAGAGACATGGGGGTTACTAGCAAGAAAATGCAGGATCTCCTGCCCTGAAATGTCAGGCAGGCTGTTAACTGTCATCATTATATCTAAAATAATGAGTAAGGAGCCAGGGCCTACTGTCTTCAGGGACTCAAAACAGAAATTGCTATTCAAATTTCTCTGAATTTGAATCCAGAGACCGCCAGTGCTCCATATCCTCACTTATGGTGGAGGAGAGACACCAAAGGCAGCAGCAGTCTAAAAGAAATAAATTTGTTTTTATTTCTCCCTCAGACTGAGAGGTTCAGCCCAGGCTTCTATTCCAACTACGAGCCCTATTCTCTGACGCTAGCTGAAATGCCATCATTACAAATAACAATAAATACGTGGAGAAATCCTAAACTCTATCATAAGTGCTACAAACTGGAAAAAATGTAAGTAAAAACACCTTTAAAATGTATTTCTGTGTTCATTTGACAATGCTGATTTTTTACAAATCCAACCCAGGTGTTCCAACTGTGGTGCTCATTCACTAATACAATACTTCTAAGACAAACATATTAAAAAGGTTATGCATCGTTAACTTTTTAACTGGTTTAATTAAATATTTGTTTACAAAAAATATTTTTTTCGGCTTAGAAAGTGTGTTCTCAGATTGATAAAATATAAATATTCCTGACCAAGTTATATATAGAGAGAATTTCTGCACTTTAATTCCTATTTTTACCAATTATTCACATAGAAAAAGTTTGACAGACTCTCACAGAAGACCATCTCCTGATGGATTCACTCAAGAACTCAGACTCAGAACTCAGGAAAGGTTAGAAAGGGATCATCTACGGAATGCTCGGCATCTGAGGAGTGTGCTCTCGCCTAGGGTTTGTAATTTCCACCAACTCTAACACAGGGAGTTCCAGCTGTTTCACCAGCTGTTCTTTTAGCCCGAGCCAAAAAAGAACCACCAGTAGTTACGAAATTGATTCAACCAAATCCAGTAACCTTTGTTTAGAAGGGCCATCCTCAAGATGGTAGCACAGAAACCTAAAAATCTCCTAACTAACTTCAAATAGTCAGATAGAATAAACATTAATTTCCTAATTTATAATTTGTGGAAGCCATTTTTTATTAGTTATTTTGTTAAGTATTAATTTTGTTATTCATTTTTGGCTTCTAAAAACTAAAACAAACTCCTCTAAAATGTGTACTCTTCACTTTTTTCCAAAGCTTTCTGAAATTTGAAATTAAATTAAATAAACACATTATAAACTTCTCTTCTGGGTTAAAATAGTGTTCCCATCAAGGTAAAGGAATACAAGGTTTATTTTCATTATAAATATGACCTATCACTTCCTTAAACAGTCCTCTTCAAAACAACATTAACAAATAATCCTCTTCAAATAACATTATCCACCTTGTGCTGTACTTTATAAAGGATAGTCTGTACTTTATAAAGCTTCCAGTGGGTCTTTGCTTTTGATCAGTATCTAAAAAGCCCTTTACTTTGTGATTAATGAAATCACTAGGATCTGTTACTTCTGCCATCAAGATGGTCAGATTCTTGATGTGAAATGAATCTTCAGTGAATATCCAGTAATAACATAAACAGTAAAACTGTTATAAAGATCCCAAGTTTTAACTCTAGAAATTCTAAATTATCAACTAATCATAGCATTTACAACTTTTAATATTAGTAACAAGATTTGAAAATTTCACACTCCTTGTTTCAATGACAGAACATCCTATACTATATGCCTTTTGTTTTAAGACAGTATTACATTTTTTTCACAGGCAACACATTATTCTTCTTAGTGGTCTACTACCTTTCTTACTTTTTCCTTCCTTAAACAACACAGGATAATCACATCATTCATTTACAACATACTCTAAGAGGGAATACTAACGCGTTACAGGTCCAAACAAAACCACATCCAGTGCCTTGAGCTGAAGTTTTTGTCTGTGACTCCGGTCGCTGATTTTCAACTGGAAGGTCATAAATGAAGGTTCATGCACTGCTATCCTGTTCATTAAAAAAATATATATATACATATATATATGCATGTGTGTTAAATGAAAACATTTCTAGTATATAAACTTAAAGATTTACGTAACACACTTTATATTTTATAAACTTTTGATCAGAGAGTATCCATTAGCTATAGAAAGACTCCTCTATGTTACTAATGTAGTTGCTATATTGATGTTTTTGTTTTCTAAGGTTACTGTTATAACTTATTATGATTAGAAATGTATAAAGTTGAAGACATTTTATAATATTAATTACCTCTCACATTTTACTATCATTTCAAAAATAACAATAAACATTGTAACTTACCTAACATCAAGAGCAGACTCTGAAAAACAGTCCTCAATTTAGATCATGTTCTTTTCTTTCTTTACAGGTATCGAAAAAATCTGTATTTTTATATTCTAATATTTAAACTGTTTAAACTGAGCAAAGTACACTGAAGCCATAAGCGGGAAGCGAGAAGCCTTCATGGGTTGAGGTGGTGGGTAGAGGGATTTATGTAGTGAGTACTGAGCCCTTTTATTAGCAACCATTTTATTATTTCTTTAAAGCAGGAGTCCTCAAACTTTTTAAACAGGGGGCCAGTTCACTGTCCCTCAGACCGTTGGAGGGCTTGACTGAGGGCTCCGGGACGATTCAGCTGCTAAGCAGGACAGGCAGCAGCGGCAGAAACACCCAGCCGGCTGGATAAATATCCTCGGCGGGCCGCATGTGGCCCACGGGCCATAGTTTAAAGACTCGTGCTTTAAAGCATGTAAGGGACCAAAAGGCACAGATGAAATAAGGAAATAAAATTGCTTTGTTTTGGACTGCAAATCCAAGCAGCCAGTACTCAATTAAGATTTCTTAACAACCAAGTATGATGCCAGTAAAGATCTTGTTGTGAAGTCTAATAATAATACTACAATTAATAACAACAATAATAAAAACAACCAAGCACTGTATGATGGGTCCTATGCCCATGACTTTACAAAGACTCCGATTAATATGAGGGTACAATTAGGTTACGGTGTTTGCATTTGTAGGCAAAGTCCCTGTTGTAGTTGTGCCCCACACCCAGGTGTACCATATACCCTTACATTGTGCCTATTGGTGGGAGCTCGCCAATCCCAGCCCCGCACCCCCCACTACTTGAATTGAATTGAGTTTTTATTTTGGCTTGGCCTGTATTAGTTCATCTACTGGCTTCATATTAATATTGAGTACATTGGATACTTGCTCTTCCATTCCTGTGATACTTTACTAAGATATTTTCCTTTCTCTTCACCTAAAGTCCTCAATGGGCTGGATGTGAAAATTAAACTTTTACATTTATAATTTTTTTCTATAATATGTTCACTACTTAAAAAAATTAATCTTGACAAGTATGTGAGGATGTCTGTACAATTCTAGAATTTGAGGCATCTCTGGTAACCCTGACTGAACCAAAAGGACAAAGTGGCTGTAACATTAATTGTCAAACACAGATCAGCCTATTTATTTCACATTGTGGTTATATTTTTAAAAAGTTCCCAAAAGACAACATAAGAAAAATACTAGAGTGCCTCCTATCCAGGACAACACATAAAATCAAAATACCCTGACTCCATTTTAATACTGTAACTTAGGAAACTATTATTTAAAAGTAAGAAATGTATTTAATTTTTTTCCTTCTTTCTAGCATCTTCTTGTACCATGAAAATAAAAGATGTTCAATAAGAACTTGTTATAATGACTATTATCCTCAAAATTTCATTCTACTACTCATGTGCATAATAAAGTCAGAAATACTGATGCTGATGTTCAGAATATATTTAATAGAAATTTGAAAATTTCCAACTCAATCCAAGACACCAATCTCAAAGGCTATTCATTTAAATAGAACGTGTAACCAAAGTGATTAGTGATACAAAATATTGTTTCAGTATGTGTAATAATTCGATTGTAATAACTGATTACAATTGTTTTTATATACGAAACAATCCAAGAAAAAATAAAACATACAAAACAATCTTGTAAGCATAAAATGTTCTGGTAGAAGCGTTGCAAGTTTTAACATGTATATCCTTCAAGATTATCAGGTTAACTAAAAGAGATTTAAAAATAAAATACAGAAAAATAACAACAGGTTTCAGACATCTAAGGAATAAAAGCATTCTGGATTTTGGTATTAGATGCATTTGGGTTTAAATGCCGCCTTGGGCAAAATATTTAAGTGGTTTCTGATAGCTTTTTTAACCTGTAAAATGGGGATGATAATATACCTCTTTTTAACCATGAGGCTTAAAAGAGATAATATTAAGTACTCCCATGTAACATAAATTTTAAAATGGTTTCTACTATTTATTTTTTGTTTATGAAACTTTATTTTTTAAATTGAGGTACAACTTATGGCCATTGTTATTGTTGTCATTACAAAAATACCAAAACTGTACATTAATCCATTCGAATAGTTGTTTTCATGAAAATGAACCAATACCAAATGAATACTTCTCTCATAGATTTACAAGGTAGTCAGTTTTGACTATTGATGCTATCTGCAAATTATACAGTTGACCTACATTGTAATTCTCAAAACTACTTTCTATGGAAATAAATTTTTTAAGAGGTCCAATTACTTAGACAAGAAAAATTTATTAAAAATTGAAAACACTTAACTTTAAAAAGATTAAGGAAAGGATACATTTATATTTCCTTTGTGCCCTTAGCCACAGAAGTAACTTGTAGATTTAGCACTTAAAAATGCTATCTATTGTATATAATTTTCCCAAAGTAGAAAAATACATTTGGATAATAAAGACTCACCTGGGAAGTGTTGTTCCTTTGACATTATTGTCTCTAAAATTCTTCTCATATTGAGGAAGTTCAACAAATTCTATCAGCCACTGAAGGGTGTCCTCAAGGGTCCAATTATGAACTATAAGAGATAAAAGGGGAATGCATATTTTAAATATTCAAATATATACACATGTAGTTATAAATACACACACAATAATTTCAGAAAAAATAAAGATGTTAGATTTAATCAACAGGAGCACAAAAATAGTATCTAGCACTGTATGAGGAGACGCTAAAGACAATGAGACGAACCTCTGACCTTGAAAGGCTTACAAGTCTGAAACAGAAGAGACAGATAAACGCAATTAGGACAAATACTACTATAATTAAAGTAAGTATCTATACAAAGTTTTTACTGGATGAAATAATTTATCATTTTCCTAGTTGTAGAAAATTTACCAGATATAAACTTGTTCATTCTTTAATCTAGCCATCCATTCATATAGTATGGTAATACTGTAAACATTCTGAGTATCAGGTTCCAGTCTAAGCACTGGGCATATGGCAGTGAACAGGATGGATAAAGTGTCCTTGCCCTTATGGAACTTAAATTCCTCTGGGGTTGAGGAGGGGGCAATCTATGAAAGAAAGAAGAGGGAGGGAAATTTCAGATCATGATTAGCTATTAAAAAAGAAAGGAAAGATGTTAGGATAAGCCTCTCTAAGGAGCTGACATCTAAATCAAGACCGAAAAATTTCAGGAAGCCACACTGTGAATATCTGAGAGGGAAAAGCTAGTGTAAAAGCTTTCAGATAGGAGTGAACCAATGGTGTCTGAGAAACAGGCAGAAAGTCAGAGAGAGCCCAAGTCATGAAACACTTTCAAGAACTCTGCATAGTTTTCTAATTTCAATAAAAAGAAGAGGGATAAAATAATCTGGTTTTAAATATCACTGTTTGATGTGGAGAATCAGTTGTATGGGATAAGGCTAGAAACAGGGAGAGAGAAGGAGACTATTCCCTACATACACAGAAGATGACGACAAGTGGTCAGATTGAGAATACTTCCTGGGAATAAATATAACAAGATATGCTAATAAAATGGATAGAGGTTAGTAGGTAGAAGAAAGCCAAAAGTACAAAGGTGGTGTCATTAACTGAGAAAGGAAAGAATGGGAACGAACAAATAGGAGAAAAAAACAGAGATGGCAAGTCGACAATCTAAAGAATCATCTCAAGGAATTAGAAAAGGAAGAGCAAACCAATCTCACACCTAGCAGAATAAAAGAAATAATGAAGATCAGATCAAAATTAAATAAAATAGATAACCAAATTATACAAATGACTAATGAAACAAAAAGTAGATCCTTTCAAAATATAGATAAAATCAACAGACCTCTTGCTAGATTAACCAAAAACAGAAAAGGAAGGACCCTAATAAGTTCAATCAGAAATGAAAAAGAAAATACAACAACAGACGGTATAGAAATACAAAACATCATCTCTGAATACTATAAAAACCTCTATGCACATAAACTGGAAAATGCTGAAGAAATGGACAAATTCTTAAAACTATCCAAATTCCTTAGGCTCATTCAGGAAGAAACTCCTAAACAGACCAATATCAAGTAATGAAATTGAAGCAGCAACAAAAACCTTCTAAGAAAATTAGTCTGGACCAGCTGGGTTCACAGCCAAATTTTACCAGATCTGCAAAAAAGAACTAGTACCTCTACTGCAGAAATTATTTCATAACATTGAGAAGGAAAGAATCCTCTCCCAACTCATTCTACAAAGACAGTGTCACCTTGATACCAAAGCCAGAAAAGGAAACAGTAAAAAAAGAAAACTACAGACTAATGTTCTTTATGAATACAGAAACAAAACTTCTCCATAAAATTCTAGCAAACCGAACTCAGCAGCCCATCAAAAAAATAGTCCACCACCATTGAGTGAGCTTCACCCCAAGAATTCAAGGATGGTTTAATATATGCAAATCAATAAATGAGATACACCGCATGAACAGAAGCAAAAACAAAGACCATATGATCATCTCAATAGACACAGAGAAAGCATTTGACAAATTCAGCACCCTTTTACAATAAGAACTCCTAACAAAATTGGCATAGACAGAACATACCTCAAAAGTATAAAAACCATGTACAACAAATGCACATTATACAGAACAGAAAAACTGAAAGCATTCCAGCTTAGATCTAGAACTAGACAAGACTGCCCACTGTTAGCCACTTCTATTCAACATAGTGCCACAAGTCCTAGCCAGAGCAATCAGACTAGAGCAATCATCCACATGAGGACAGAAGAGGTCAAACTATCACTCTTTGCGGACAATGTATCTCATATCTAGGAAATCCCAAAGATTCTTGAAGAGACTCCTAGAACTAATAACTAAATTCAGGAGAGTCTCAGGATACAAAATCAACATGCACAAATCAATAACATTCCTACACACCAGTGTTTTTCAACCTTTTTTATCTCACAGCTCACTTGAATCTATAGTTAAACTTCTGCAGCACTTAAATTATGTTGATCAAAAAATAAGAGTAAAAGAAAAGAATATACTCACTGTGCTTTGAACTTCATTCAAAATAAATTAATTTATAATCTTTAAAAGTTTTGGAACATACCTAAGATCCTCTCACAGCACATCCATTGAAAATCACTGCTATACACCAAAACAGGCAAACTGAGAATCAAATCAAAGACTAAATCCCTTCACAATAGCATCAAAGAAAATAAAATACTTAGGAATATATTTAACCAAGGAGGTAAAACATCCCTACAGAAAGAACTATGAGTTACTGAGGAAGGAAATCACAAAGCATGCAAACAAATGAAAAAATGTATCATGCACATGGGTCAGCAGAATCAACATTGTTAAAATGTCTACACTACTCAAAGTTACCTACAGATTCAACATAATCCCTATTAAAATACCAATGTCATTTTCTGCAGACATATAAACAATAATTCTATGCTTCATATGGAACCCAAAAAAAGCCCCCAAAGCTAAAGCAACCATAAGCAAAAAGGGCACATCTGCAGGCATCACTTTCCCAGACTTCAACCAATACTGCAGAGCTATAATAACCAAAACAGCATGGTACTGGCAAGAACAGAGACATTGACCAATGTATCAGAACAGAAAACTCAGATATGAAACAATCCCCATATTGTTATCTGATCTTTGATAAAGCAGACAATAACATACACTGCAGAAACAAATCCCTATTCAATAAATAGAGATGGGAAAACTGGATAGCCAGATGTAGAAAACTGAAGAAGTTCTGTTTTTAGACATGTTGTGTTTGAAGTATGCATTAGACATTTCAGTATAGATAATACAGCTCAGTGAGATATCCAAGTCTGGTGGTCAGGGCAAAGTGGGGCTAGGGATAGAGATCTTAGGGGGTAGTAGTCAGTATACAGATGATCTTTAGATACTAGCAGACTGGGCCTAAATCACAAACAAAATGGTAACTAACGCCTATGCTCTTGAACATTTATTTTAAATTAAGTCCTTTATGTGCATTTTCATCTTTAAGCCTTTAGAAAAAAAAAAAAAAAACAAAACACCTCAAATGAGGTCCTCACATGATCACTTCCAGTTTGGAGATCAAAAACTGAGAAGATAATGAAACCAAAACACTAAGTAGCAGGACTGGATTTGAACTCAGGAAAACCAACCACATAATCTGACTTTACACTGTTCTAAAAGCAATAATGTTAAACAACAATATTATTTGAATAATAATGCACTGAATGTAAATCAGAAATTTCTGCTTGTATGAAGGGTAATGATGAGTTTAGCCAAAGGAAAAGATGGACATGTGCTTAAAGATGGAGAAGTTCCATATTGTCTGCATTGAATTTCAGGGTTTTGGAAAACAAAGCACTTAGAGACCACAGAAGAGGTCAAGACAGTGAAGAAAACAAGAGAGCAATAAAGGAAGGTCTGGGAATCCATCTGTTACAAATAACTCTGAGAAAAGATCTTTATAATAAACTACATACGTTTTCACATTTGCAAGCAAAGCTAAGTTTCCATAATCTGCCCTTTCGTTACATGTTCTTTCACAAACAAAATGTTCAGCTAAAAACTACATGTGGTAATTGATAATTATGAGACAAAGCTCCGTTTTGTTAGTAATGCTCTGTTCGCCACATGTGCCTGCCATAAAGCCCGGACATGGCTCTGCGGCTACTATATCCATGTAGACAAATAACTTAGGATATCAGCCAAAGCTCCAGGCCCTGGGTGCTTTCCACTACATTTAATGTATTCAAACTAGCTTTCTTCTGTTAAGTTTCTTCCTATTCAAGATGAATTACATTAAGAATTGCCCTCTCTTCACTGCCAAAAAAAACCTCAGTGCAGCTGCACCTCACACACCCACACAAAAACCTCAGTCAAGAAAACAAGATAAGATTCTCTCTGTCATTTCTATGCCTGTTCAACAGTAAAAGCCCCTGATCTAAATACTCCAGCACATCAAAATTCCTCCCAAAAAGCCAGTATAGAAAAGAAGAAAAATCAAGTGAAAAATAATACATAATTCAAAAACCCAAATCTTAGCATTATTCTACCTATTAAATTAAAAAAACTGTAGTGGCTTCCTTGACAATAATCTTTAAAACAACAAAATCCTAACGTGAAACAGTGTATTGGGGGAGGAGGTTCACTTCTGCTTTTGCTGTGGTTTCTTTGGTGATACCTAGTAAACACCTTCACTTCTCTTCTCATGACCAGGACTTGCATTTTATATTAGTTTTCTCTGTTCCGAATTCTCTGCTTGTCTTTCAATTTTCGGAACAGAGCGCACCTTGTCTTTCCTCGGGGCCTCTCTACACGCCACTTCCTCACTCTGAGTCCCTTTTCTCCATCCCTCTGCCACTCCCGGGCCTGCCTATCTGTTAAACCCTCTGTCTGCTAAAACTTTAATTCTTCTAGTGAGCCCTTATAAACATTGCTAAACAACCATAAATCTTTCTGTACTTTTTATGCATAGCATTTAACTAATTATAATTGTATGATTACTCCTTTACCATCTTTTTATTCCACTAAAGTGTAAGTTTCTTGCTCACCATTCTACTTCCAGCACTTGGTACACAGGGACT